TTTTTTTTTTTTTTGCTTTCGTTCTTGCTCAGGGATCCAGTTTAAGTTGCCACAATAAAGAATTGCAAACTATTCACTATAGATCCCCATCATGGCACCTTAAAGCTAAATTCCTTAAACAAGAACCCAGTCATCTGTGGTAGTGAAGATTTCTGAGGGCCCGTCAAGCTGGTCTGGAAGGCGTAGACCATGAGGACAGGGCCTGTTTCTTGTCAGCTCGGGGGCCTCAGGGTCTACCTGTAGTCTCCATTNNTAGTTCCTTTTTTGGTTTAACCATTTATATATTAACCATGTATATATTGTATATATATATATATATATTAAGGATTTTTTATAAGGTATCCCCAAAAAGGAACTACAATGGAGACTATAGGTAGGCTCTAAGGTGGGTTCAGGGCGTGGGCTTTGAGTTGTGGGGTTTAGAGTGTTGGATTTGTAGCTGAGCGGAACGAAAAAATAACTGCATTCTGCGAAGACTTCATATTTCAAGCTGTGACTGAGACTCTGAGCTCTGTCTTGAGACAAGAGGCCACATACGGCCATCGCGCCGATGTGCCAGTCGTGCGCCCTGAGCAAATCTTCAAACTAATATGCGAGATGATAATTATAAATACAACTACAACTCGTGCATTGTCTGCAATGTCGGCGAACAAATTTTGGCATGAGAAAATGCAGAGGCAATAGAGCTGCAGCATGCAGCGCTCAGGCTCCCACCGGTACAGTGCGATTGCCGCAAACGGCGGCAAGATGAGAGCTACAGGCAAGTACGCGTACCTGGCTTCCATTTCATGCCGGTACCAGACTTCATCCCTGGCCAGGTCATTTCGTAGCATGATCTCTCCAAAGTTGGTGCTCCTGTCAGCATACCACACAGGATCTCCGTGATGCACCACGAGCCTCAGAGTGTGAGCAAGTCACTCTCAACATATAGCCCCATAGCCTAACTGATCCATCGGAACAAGAAGCCAACAGTATTTGCAATCTTCAGCAAAGCCCCGCACCACTTGGCTTACTGAAGATCTCTTGCAGTGTACACTCCGTAAGCCCTTAACCCTGTCCATGTCTCCAAGCGAAGAGTCTGCTTAGTGGCGTGGTGACTGCAGCGTCAGCTCGGTATTTTTGAGACCAGAGTCGACGTCAGCGCATGAGTGCAATTTGGGCTTGAGACGATAATCAAAGATAACATAACATAATGCGGTGTATCATGATATTATATACCTAACCTACTAGATCACAGTATAACATGATATAGTGCGCTATATAAAAACAAAAAAAGATCATAGACAAAAACAGACTCGAATATGTCCAAACACATTCATTTCTAATCTGAAACGGTATCGTATCATACTATAGCAAATATAGAACACTATAGTGTAATGTAATGTAATGTAATGTAATGTAATGTAATGTAATGTAATGTAATGTAATGTAATGTAATGTAATGTGATCGAAAATCGAATAGAATACACTAGAACAGAATAGAATATACTAGGATGCTTGATGGCGGCGGGTTGACACAAGGACAGGTAGGCTGAGCAGTGAGAGCTTGAGCACCAGAGTATCCATGCGAATTGGTGCAAGTTGTCCGGCTGCTACCCATTCTTAGGGGCTGAGTAGCCTAGCCCAAAAAAGGTTAACCTTTTGAAGTATGGTGCTCTGCCGGACATCCAAGCCACGAAACTACAAACAGCTGAAACAAAAAGACCACCAAGACCCGGAAGGAACTAAACCCTAAACCCCTAAACCCTAATACCCTAAACCCCTCAACCCTTAGTAAGACATAACCCTCAAACACACAAAAAATCAATGCTGAGGTCCCAGCTGGAGGCATGGTGCCAGGATCGCAAGGTAGGAAAGCCAGGCTGCGGAAGCTGCTCGGGAGACTCTGGAAGCCTCAAGGGCGGGTTTAGGGTTTAGGGTTTTAGGGCTTAGGGTTTTAGGGCTTAGGGTTTAGGGTTTTAGGGTTTAGGGTTTCGGGTGAATCTGGAAGCCTCAAGGGCGGTTTATTTGGGGGTTTCCGAAAATAGGGGACCCTAGTATAGTACCCTAAATAGTAGAATCCTTATTATAAGGACCCCAAAGTACGATACTCCCTATTTTCTGAAACTCCCATTTAGATGCAGATGTAAATATGAATTTAAACACAAATACAAACGGAACTATGAATCTAACTATACAGTCACAACCATTTGAATATACATGAACCGACAAATAAGTAAGTAACTGTTGGGTGTATATATATATATATATGCATGCATGCATGCATGTATGTATATCATAGACACACATAAATACAAGCTTAGGGCGTGGGCTCAATGGGTTTAGGTTTCAGGGATTAGGGGTGTGGATATTACCAGTACCCCCATAAGCCAAGACCCTGATAGAAACCTTAGAAAGTGTGTGTACTATGGAACCTCACTATGATCCTGTATCCCTAAACCCTAAACCCTAAACCCTAAACCCTAAACCCTAAACCATTGTAATATGAAGATCAAGGGGACCCGGCTCAGTCTTGGCTGAGTACGCGGCATCGCTTCTCAGCCTGAGGGCTCCAGCGTATACAAGTTCAGTCAGCACTGAGAAGACTGGAGTTCAGTGGCACCAGCGCTTGCTGCAACCATGGGGCAGCGTCAGGACTGAAACCAAAGTGAAAGCGATGATGGAAAGCAAGGCCTCGAGAAAATAAGGCGAAGGGGGGGTGTGCAAAGCTGCCACGAAAGTCTCCGAGGCGGCTGAGATCTTGGCGACCCATCCACCCTGCCTCTCCGTCGGAGTCAAGCCCTCCAGCGCCTGCACGTCATGCAAGAAACGACAAGGGGTCTTATCGAGTCGGTGTGTGGGATGCCGATGCACAAGGCTTGGGCGATGACGACGGGGAGGAAAGGAATGGCCTGCCAACCTGCTTCAGGCAGAGAACTCGAAGCACAGGGGCAAGAGCAGCAGATGTAGAGACCTGGGACCAGCAGACGCTCGATGTACAAGAAGGCGGAGATGGAGGCCCGCAGCACCTCAACTCAGGGGGCTCTGCACCCAACTTGCAGCAGCCAAACAGCCAAGTGTCCTGGCATTGTCTTTCAAATCCAGCTCGACTACCTCGGACACCAGTGACATGGAGTCGCTTGGGTCCCTCTTCACTTGCAGCAACAGGGCACTGTGAACAACATGTCCCGCACTCTGAGCCTTCTCTTAACTTGACGAAAAGTTTCTGAATATTGCTGATGGTGCTACCGTGTCAATGTTAGCTTTCAGCCATCACGTCTATCTTGATTCTCGAACCCACGGTTCGGACCATCATATGGGGCCCCTACAAAGCATCTAAGACCATAAGGTTGCGATGACCGAAAAACGGCTCTGTAAGTAAGCCAACCAGGTGCACCCCAAAGCTTCTCTTTGGGCGCCTAAAACCCTAAACCCCAATCCCTAGTTCCTGATTTTAGACCATCCAGACCGAGAAAAGGGCAGATGCTTGCCGCTGCCCAACGCTGTCACCTGCTGCCCGACTCTAGGGTTTGGCGGTGTAGGGTTTACCTGGTTCCTAAAAGTCTGTAGAATAATAGCACTTGTAGAGGTTTTGGGCCATCATGTTGCCTACTTGTAGGGTTTGGGGGTTTAGGGTTTTGGGATTTGGGGACGGTTTGGGATTGTTTTAGGGTTTAGTAAGATTGAGGGTTTTGGGGTGTAGGGAATCTGTATAATGAATATCATGCGCAAAGATGCCAGGCGTGAAAGTATTGACTATGATCTTCAGCATCTTGTCGGTGAGTTTCTAGATTTTCTAGTACTGCAGACTACCGTCATGTTCGGTGCAGTTCTGTTGGGATGCATGCTTGGTCTGCTTACAGCCAAAGATCCTGATGCTATGAACCGAAGATAAAGCCACTAAACTTCGTGCTTGAGACTTGAGGCTGTTCAACACTCTTGCTTCAGTTTCGCTTACAGACTGATGTGGGTGCCAAGTGTCGAGGACATGCAGTCTTGAGCTGACTTGGACTTCAGTCCCTGGTGTGAAGTTTAAACTGCCCGTCGGCTGGGCTACCTCTCACCTCACACGAACAAACGCAGGAAAAGCTATCTCGCGACGTGGCCTGCAGCTTGGAATGCCAGGTAGAAGGCTGCCGGGGCGAGCAAACACAGGAATAAGTCCTCGCTTTAGGGCGCAGGGCGCGGGGTGTTAGATGAATTTTAGGTGTCCTGTGGTGTACGGACACACGGAAACAGAGCCCCCTGAGCCCGAGGCCGGCATCAATGAATGCAGTGAACAGCGGGACGTGAGTTCCTCTCCACTTCCCATGTCAAATTGTCGCCCGCTACGATCTTACCACCATGGTCTTCTTTCCTCCTGCATACCCTGCTGCCGAATACAAGCATCCATCCTGTAGACCAATGGACTCTTGGACTTATTACGTTTCCCTAACCCTCCAGGCACCTACTATACAGGGCCTTAGGGGCTCTAGTACCCTATATAGTATGTAACTGGGGGGTTAGGGTTTGGAATGGCTACCCCTGGAACTTGCATCGCTTTCGGCATGGACGGCCTCCTCGGACCTAGAAGGCCTCCATGACACCTTGCACCAGGATCATGCAGACGTTTTTGAGGTTTAGGGGGTTTTGGGTTCGGCTTTGGGGCCTCGGGTTCAAGACATGTCCAACACTACCATGCTCGAGAATTCAGTACTTATGTGCGCCAATGCGGCTTCTATGAGGTCCCTGTGAGAAATCTTGCAGACTTGCCTGGTTCCTGCAAACTTCGCAGCTCGGCAGCAGACTCGTTGAATCAACAGCGCAGCTGGCAGCGTAAGCGCAGCAGCCTCCGACGACGCTTGTGCCACACGGTTGCATCAAACATTAAACCCACAAGGGAGGACTTCAACTTACTACTCCTACTACTCCTACTACTACTACTACTACTACTACTACTACTACTATTCCTTCAGCATCATGCCCATGAAGCCCTAGATCCCCAGGAGGAGCCTTGCACATGACAGCAGCGAAATAGAAGATGCCCGACCTCTGCAATGATCTAAGGTAGAACCCATGGGCCCCTAGTATGGGCCCTTAACCCTGGGACCCTAATATACCTACTATATACCCTATATATACCCTTAAGGGACCCTAGAATCCCCTTAGGGCCCATGTTAGGGGCCCATGGGTTCAACCTTAGAAATGAAATGCCAGATCTAGGTGCACAACCCGCCGGCGCAGCTCAGGCAAAGAGAAGTCGCATCACTCCGAGACCGCCGATGGCATCTAGTCTAATGTAGGGGCCTGAAGGACTAGAATAGGGTTTTGGGGTATATTATATTATAACTATAATAAGGAACCCCAGAATAGTATAGGTAATTTATTTAGGCCCTTTATATATTATATACAGTCTACCCTCAGTACGAGGAGACCTGGTAGGGGTCGACGAGCCGTTGTAGCATGTGTGAGCTGCCGTAAAATTATGCCCTGTAGCGATCTGCTGTGAACAGAGTGAGGCATTGGCACGAGGACCCCCAAATCGACAACCTCTTCGGGTTGCCGTAAACCAGGGCCTACCGATCATACAGGAAGCCAAGGTTAGCAAAATTTAGAGCAACCCCATGTGAGCCGCTGGCATGAACGCAAGCACCACGGTCGACAGCATGTACTGCTGCTGCTGGTGATGCAGCCGCCAGACCTATACTGTAGCATTGGGTGGTCTTGAACCGTTGAGCGACTTGTTGCAAGCTCCAGGCACAGCTCACGTAAGAGGAAAGAGAGAGCCAGCACCTCAGAGTCAGCTGCAATTCGCGCACGGCTGATGGCATAACGTCTTCCGCGTCTTTCCTCATGCCGACGTTAAGGCTTCGATTCGACAGATCCAGGCACCGCACAGCGATGTTGCCCACAGGTACGGAAGGCAAGACGACCAACCTCAGAAAGGCCGTGCGCATGCAGTCATTCGCCACAGAGCGGACCAAGTGCCGACTGCACACGCAAAGTGCTCGAGCTCATGGCACACAGCTTGGACACAAAGTGGGTGAACTGCAAAGAATGCAGTTCCAAAGACGCCTGTCGAGTTTCTGCCACTGCTGCTGCAAATGTAGGAGTTGGGGGTTTCCGAAAATAGGGGACCCTAACATAGCACCCTAAATAGTAGGACCCCTATTATAAGGACCCCAACTAAGGTACCCCTAATTTTCGGAAACTCCCAGCTGCCGCAGCACAAGCCAGCTTCGCAGCAGGCCGTCTGCCAACGAAGTCTCGAAGTGTCAATCTCACTTGCCTCAGGTTTAGGGTTTAGGGTTTAGGGGTTTAGGGTTTAGGGTTTAGGGTTTTAGGGCTTATGGGGTTTAGGGTTTAGGGTTTAGGGTGCTCGAACGGTAAGTGCTTCTGCTTGCAACTTCTTAGGACTCCCGGCCTGCTGGTGGAATCGGAAGAGCATCGAGCCTGACTGGGAAAACGAGTCATATCTAAGTGATACAGCGCCTCAATATTTGGTAAGAATTCTGTATACCCAGTGCCAAGTAGATGTGGTAGATCAGAACATCATATACCCCAAAACCCTATTGCAATTATAGAGGCGCCTACATTACATTGCAAGAGCTCGGGGCTGCACACTCTGAGCTCAGGACTGCCCCCAAAAGCTGTTACCGCAGTGATCGCGTGGGACAGCAGGGAAAGCCTGCTATACAAGTGTAGACTTAGAGTATATAGTATAATATATTTTATATTCTTCGGAACTGCAGAACCCAGGCCAAGTTCTGTTCAACCAACTCAAGACGAAAAGAAGCGATCTGATACTCTTCTGTCTATGGACGACAAAATGCAGCTGGATGCTACAGCATGTTACAACATAGCGGCACGTTGAACTGAGCAGGAGCACACTGCACTGCATGAGAAAACTTTATCAAAGACAAATGACTGATGACATGCAAAGAATATATATATATATATGCCTTGTACCCTTGTCTGTGATGCCCGGTAAAGCACAGTCGGTTCAAGCGTATGTATGTATGTATGTATGTATGTATGTATGTATGTACGGATGTACATATATATATATATATACATCTGTGTAATATTTGCTGACACAGTACACATGGACCTCCGCAATAACATTCGTATACCGGAAACACGCAATCAATCCGTTTGACCTGAAGTCCGCTTGGAGGAAAGACACAAACATGTCGTGGCCAGTCTGTACCGCAGAAAACGTCGCACGCAATGAAGATGTAACTAAGGTATACTCGGTACTTACACAGCAACCATGTAAAGCTGCAGCAATAATATATATCACGGCGAGAATAGCAGGACAATGCCGCAACCCACAAAACTACCAAGTTCTTTATAAACAACTTTCCTATCTTTCCAAAGTAATGTAGGAGCCTTAATAAGGGGCTTTGGGAGTATACTTTACTATAACTATAATCAGGAGCCCACAAAAATAGTATAGGTAATTATTAAGGCCCCTACCTTATTAAACCTAGTGAGTCGCACGCGCTAACTGCCCTGATGCTGCCAGCCTATGGAGGCTCTTCGGTTGCAGGCCACCAAGGAGATCCGACGCACTGGCCTGTAGCCACAAGGCTCCCCCTAAACCCTAAACCCCTAAACCCTAAACCCCTAAACCCTAAATCGTGAGATGTGATTCCCCTGGTCCTAAACATGCCTAAACCATAAGATCGCTACGACACCATGTAGGCTCAGGCTGGGCGGCGGGCTTTGAGTGCGAGGGCAACAGGTTCGTAGACCCGAAGTACATTGGCCTGAGGCTTGGGTCCTAGGGTTTCGGGTTTAGGGCTTAGGGTTTAGGGTTTAGGGTGTAGGGTTTAGGGTCTCCCAACCGTCCAATGAAGACTGTGAGTACCTCAGCCTGTTGCGACGGCTGGGCGCCATGCCCGATGCCACCAGGCTAGATTTTCCCAGGACCTCCGGAAACACTCAACCCTAAACCCTAAACCCAAAACCCTACGTCACCTCGTCCTCAATATACCCTGGGAAGGCCCATTGCAGCTCACTGCAGCCTCTGAGGGCCGTACCAATGAAGGCGGCCGCGCACCGCCTCCCCGAAGTTCTCGGTATCATCCCACACATACTCCTTACTCAAAGGATCATGGGACTTAGTAAGTAGGGTTATAAGTAGGGTAACCTATACTTATAACCCCAATTAAGGGACTTGTAACCTTACTTGCTAAGTCCCATGATCCTCCAAGTACATCAGCATCCTCAGCACACACTCCCCGTCCCCAGTTCTTTGAGGCCAGGGGCCCAGGATCCATGGGAGTTCGACCAGAAGGGCACAACCGCGAGGACCACCACGACGGCGACGCCTTCGCCAGAGTGGGTAAAAGTGGGTTTAGGGTTTAGGGTTCAGGACCCTAACCCCTAAACCCTAAACGGCCCTAAACCCTAAAAACATCCTGATCAAACAGAAGCTCCCTTGCAGAAGGGGCACCACAGACTTGCGCAAGCAGCTTGAGACAAACCTGGTGTAGGAAAAGCTAAACCGCACAGCATGGGCGTTGACTCCGTACTTTACTTGTATGAATCACTGAGGCTGAAGCCGCATTCATCCAGAGTGGCTGATGTCGGCTCACTGCTGATCAGTATTGCGCATACCATGTACAGGCAGGGCCAAGGGAAAGCTCAGATATGGTTGTGCTCATGAACTATCCTGCGCCATGTCAGACATGACCGCTTCTCAGTCTGATACTTTGTTGAACTCATTCCATCTTGGATTCTTGCATTTTTGGGCTACTGCTCATGCAAGTACAGGCTGGCAATGTAGAATATTGAAAAGATCCCGTGTGCTGTATGTAGGCAAGATCACACTCGGCAAAGGGTTCAGCGGCTTGGGCTTCGGCTAAGGCTTGCCATGAAAGACAGCTGCGTGGCAAAGCAGGAGCTTGGACGCTCAGATCATGCGACACACGCCGTACATACAGTCTCTCCTAGACACCCTGTGTCTCTCTCACTATCTCTCTCTCTCTCTCCCTCTCGCCCTCCCTCTTTCTCTCCCTCTCCCTCTCGCTCCCTGCCCGCTGCTCTCTCTCTCTCTCTCTCTCTCTCTCTCTTTGAACCTCTCAAATTAATGTGTACCACTGTACTGTAAATGGAAAGTCTCTGACATGCTCTGCAAACCATGCCTTCCCCTTGCCCTTCGCAGAGGTCCTCCGGGCAGGCTCCTTGAGAAAGACGACCGTCAAAGCGGCGCTTAGTAGTCTTAGGGTTTAGGGTTACTCACACAGCGCTCCTTCCTGCCTAGCAGACGTTAAGTGCCGACCGTGTGCTGTGAGGATCTAACGACTACCTGTAGTCTCCATTGTAGTTCCTTTCTTTGGTTTCACCATTTATATACTAAGGATTTTATAAGGTATCCCCAAAAAGGAACTACAATGGAGACTACAGGTATAGTTCTGTCCGAGATCCTTCTTCGGCATGGGTGTGGCTCCAGCGCCACGCCATGAGGGCCTGGTCAAGCCCGAAACAAGTAATGTAGGGGCCTTAATAATTAGAATGGGTCTTGGGGGATACAATACTATAACTATAACAGGGAACCCCCAAAATAGTATAGGCAATTATTAAGGCTCCTACATGACCCTGTGCCCTGTGCCGCTGACCCAGAGCCCGCCCCACGTCAAATCCTGCAGAAAAACCATCGCTCTCATCGGTTTGGGCCGTGGTCCGTTAAGGTGTCTCTCAAAGCTTGACAGCTTGCCAAATTCGCTCTTTGCCAAAAGGCGTAGAATCTTGGACGTGCTTCCCCATAAGGCTTTAGGTATTCTTGTTTGGCATTGTGCAGCCCCGGCTTGGGTTGGCATTCATCTCACCGGACAAGATGTGCATACTATGTTTGTCCTGCTTTGGGCTATTCCCAGCCTCATGAACCTTTTGCCTAGGCGAAACTCAGCCAAGATTGGCACTGTAGTACAGCGCTATCTGTGAATGACATGAGGAGACATCGTAGATAATTGCAACCTAAACTACCTAGCCACCTAGCAGAACGACGAATCTACTACCGCAGCCCATGTTCGTGCCATGATGGGTACTGACTCCTCTCACCGGACTTTTGCGAACTTCCTATCGAGAACTGCTAGGTTTCTCAGTAACACGGGTAAGTTGCACGAGATTGCAGTACTGTTTACGTCCTGAGTCGTGTTGGCCTCGCGACTGCTTCAGCAGTGCTCAATACACCGTAGTATTACATCGTGCTGGGAGTCACTGTCAAGATCGGGTGTTTGTTATCGCCTTGGCTGGAACGACTCGTGGCCTCGTAGCATGCCTGACATGACCACTAGTACGGCTAGTACCACAGTAGCAGTAGCCAACTAACTTTTGCACTAATACAACCACTACTACTACTACTACTACTACTACTACTCCTCCTACTCTCCTACTCCTACTTGGGATCCAAAAAAATCCGAAATCAAAAAGCATGCCGAACCTCGATGTCGGCGTGGAAGGCGCAGCTTTCCGCGGCGCCACGGCCGTCGCGGGTGCCCCCGGTGGCGCGGACTCGGCTCGCCGTTGGGGCTCCGGCCTGCGAAGGGGTTGAGGCCAGGGCTTTAGGGCTTTAGGGCTTTGGGGTTTAGTGTTTAGGGCTTTGGGCTTGGGGTTTAGGGTTTAGGGTTTAGGGTTTTGGGTTTGAGGGTAGGGTAGGGTAGGGTAGGAAAATGGCTGAGGGTAGGATTTTGGTTTAGGGGTTAGGGTGGGGTCTAGGACCTAATGCTAAGGAGGAAATAGGTTCAGACCCAAACCCTTCTGAAACAATGAAAGAATCGTTTCAGTAACCCTCCGGTACGCCGACCGAGATAATAAGGCTGCCAAGCCCCATCAAGAACTAGCACCACCTGCTGTTCTCTGAACACCTTCTATATTCGACCAGGGTGTACATCCGGACCTTACACACAAGCCGGTTATAGTGTTCAATTTACATCCTAGAATGCAGGCCTCGACACTTCGAACCAGGGTACTTAAGCCCCGAACCCTACCTGGACCCTGAATAACCTACCTGCCAAGGACAAATAACACATATATATATATATATATGTATACAGGGAAATCATAACAAGGAACTCTAAACCTTTAACCCCGAACCCCTAATCCCTAAATTACTAAACCCCAAACCCCCTAAACTCTGAACCGCCAAACCCGAAACCCCAAACCCCTGCACCCCCAAACCCTAAATCCCACCCTACACCCCCAAGCCCTAACCCCTAAATGCCCAAACCCTAAACCCCCAAACTCTAAACCCGAAAGCCCTAAACCCTAAACCACCAGACCCTAAACTAAACCCTAAACCCCAAAACCCCTACACCCCCAGACCCCAAACCGGGTAAGCCCTGCCCTAAACCCTAAACCCTAAACCCTAAACCCTAAACCCAACTTCCGACCTGGTCACCGGACGAGGAGCCGGCATCTGGGAAACTTTAAGCTTTCAGCTACCAATGAGGGTTTAGGGTTTAGGGTTTGGGGGTTTGGGGTTTAGGGTTGCGGGTTTGGGGGTTTAGGGTTTAGGGGTTTGGGGTTTAGGGGTTTAGGGTTTGGGGGTTGGTTCGGGCTTTCAAGTCGTTTCGGGTTTGGGGTGTTGAGTTTTTTGAGGCTTTGTTGTTGAGGTTTTAGGATTTGAAGGTTTGTTCGAATTCTAGAGTCTAGAGCTTTCAGGACTATGGGGTTTTAGGCTTTAGGATTTTGAGCTTTTAAGCTTGTAGCAATTAAGAAGAGGGCTTTGGGTCGGTAGGGCTTTAGGATTCCTGGGGTTTCAGATATTTCGGTTTGCGGGCTTCTGGGCGCGGTTGGGTTGTCACTGTTGTCACGGTCTGAATTTGGGATTTAGGGCGTGTTGCGGGGTGTGGGGTATCATTCAGGGGGTTCGTGTGAAGTCATTATTGCGAGAGCCATATTGCCATATTGCACGAAACCCCGGCTAAAAACATGTCTTTAAAGTTACGGCCATCTGTTGAAGCTCTGAACACTGGATCCTAAATGGAGCGGAAAGCCCTCCGAATACTCGGAACGCGTAAAACACAACTCTGATTTGCCCGGCATCGCAACTCATGAAAGATTTGGATTAAGAAGGAGAAAAGCCAAATAGAGCTGAAAAGTCATGGCGGCGGCATGCCAACCAAAACACTAAGACTTGACCGTCAAGAGTAAGGTCAAGAAGACGAGTATTGGCGCCGCTTGTACCAAGTAACGACAAGAGAGTACTCACATAAAATACTAGTTAATACTATTGTTATTGATTACTGTTACTACAAATACCATAACCATACCTAATACTGTTTTTCACAAATGATGGGTGTGCGTCTACATCGTCCACTTGCTAGTGCGCTGCTTGAGGCTCCGGCCGCTTCGGGAGTGCGGAGCTGAGAGGCTCTGCGGCTTCTTTCCTGGAGCCGGAGAAGGCT